GGAAAGTGTGAATATCACTTTCATAGATTTCCTCACAGCCTTTCTTTGGTGCCTGCTACTAAACCCACTTAATCAGCACCCTGATAAATGGTATATCCAGTTAATTGGAATAATTGCCAAGGATAGGAATAGTGTAGTTCATTTCAATGACTCCAAACAAGGGATAAATTGCACTCAGAGTCAATTTAAATAGCACCCCTGAGGTTGTCTGTAGGTATAAAAAGGGTGTGAATTGGTATTTGCCAGCAAAAATTTTCCACCTTTTTTTTGGTATCATGCTGATTTCCTGTTCTACTACAGCTGTTAAATTAGGTTATCTTACTTTGGATGAGATAGTTAAAGTCTTTGAAGCTCTGATTCCTCAGTAACATGGTCACATAAGGAATACACCAATCATAAAAGCAAGAAGTACGTATTTTGGGAAGGAATAATTGAATGATTAGATGCTGAGAGAGAGAAATGAAATGTAGTTATCATATTTTTTTTTTTTAAAAAGGTCACAATGCTACACTATCAGAATAAGGTTTCTTAGGTTTCTAATATGAAAGAACACCAGGGCACTTACATCCCAATGTATGCATCTCCTGTAAGTTGTATTAGAAGCTTGGAATAGTTTTCAGAAGCAGAGCTAGTTGGCAAAATATCTCTTTCTAATTTCTGGTTTATATGCTGTTGCATATATGGGTATGACCTTTTGATAATCAAGAATAGTGATTAATTAACACTTTTTTTTTTAGAATCTGTAATAATTAAGCATATTCTACTCTTTTTTTTTTCCAGTTTCTTTTAAAACTAAATCCATATGCAAAATGTCTCTGTCTTCCTACATGTTTGTTTATTTATCTTGTGAATCTGTTTGTTGAAATCTGTTCATGAAAGAGGTTGAGACTGGTGAGCTAAGAGTAGGAGTGAGGAGAATTAAGACTAATTTCCCCTTGAGTCTCTGATATACATTCTCACTGTAAACTTTGGCATCTTTCAAAGTGATGGACTTCATGAAACTCTAGAAGAAAAAGGTAGATGCCATGCTAGAGATCTTTTCATGCAAAGTCCTCATTTGAAAGATAAGGAATTTAAATCCTAGAAAGGTTTAAGTTTGTTTCAAATTCTTTCAGCTAGTTAGTTGTATGTAGAGCCAGGCTTCCTGGGCCCTTTTCTAAGACCTTTCCCATTTACTCTTCCTCCATAGGATAGTAGTTTTATCAAACATCAAGTAGAAAATAGAAATTGATTAGTATAAACTGTTTTCATGTTCATTGAACTACAGTACTATTGCTACGTGCTTTTGCATTTTCACCACTTATTCATGCATTCATTTACTCTTTCATTTATTCATCCTCTCTGTAAAAGGCATGAGTTGTTGCTATGTATCAGGTATAGTGATGGGCCCCAGAGATTCTAGGAATTGCAATGTCCCTGCCTTCAGGGATTTCACAGCCAGATCAGCCCCAGTATTTGGAGGATGATACTACCTTCTATGACTCTGCTACTTAACAGGCATTGTTCATGGGCTTTGCATATCATCTCAATTAAACTTCACAAAATTCTTAGGAAATAGATATTTTTGACTATATTATACAGATGAGAAATAAGGTATTCAGAGAAGGTGAGCACAACCCTTTCAAACCTGTTCATGCAATAAGTGACTGAGGCAAGTTTCTGATGTGTCTGACCTCTGCATCTAAGCTCTTTTTCTTTCTTATGCTATCTTCCTTCAGAATTGTAAAAAAAAAAAAAAAAAAAAAAAACTCAAAATGACTGAAATTGAATATGTATCTACCTAAGAGCTTTGTTTATTATAGGAAAATCTGGTTGTGGGAAATTGATGTATTCATCCTGTGAAAAGCTAACCTTGCTCATTCAGGAGTGATAGTGGTCTGCACTAACAGTACAGCAGTGGTTTAGCTCAGAACACAGAACTGAGAAAAAAGGAACTCCAATATTTCTTCCCACTCTAATTAATAAAATATACCTGAGAATATGCTCCTCTCAAACCTTCACACTTCAATTTGGGGGAGGCTAAAAAGATACCTCTGAAATTAATATCACATGTTTATCCTTTCATCTGGATGTCATGGCCATTTCTTGAAGGGGTAGAACCTGAAATAAATCTCTTAATATCATTACTACTATTACAAAGGAAAAAATGCATGCAGGAGAACAACAAAGGCAACACTGCAAAAGATATGGACTAACCAAAGGGCGATATACATACCTGAGCACAAAAAGTGGGGCCAGTTCTGGGTACATGACCCATTTTCATATGTATGAAGATGACAGCTTTGGGGCAACAAATCACAAAGTCTCAAGAAGTTAATGTATATCACCTAGAATGTGGAAGAGGGTAGAGGGGTCATGGGTTAAGAACCTGAGAATCCAATCCCAAATAGACTTCTGATCAACATTTTAAATGTAAACATGAAAATATCATTGCAGGCTATAATCATACAATCTACTGGACTGAACAAATATTTAATATGTATAACATTACATATGCTATCCCCATATCTAAATTTACATCCATGGTATATACAACCCAACAAATTACACTTTATCTACTTCAAATATTGCCCCAAAGTACGCTGTATTGCCTTACAGTGTGTTAATTCTGATTGCTTAATTATGTATTATAATTTTGCTTCACACATGTATCTATAATTTTAAAAAAGCAAAACAGAAATCAAAATATATTAGGATTAAAAGGAGTTTTTTTAAAAAAATATCTAATGTAATTGTATCTTTTATGAACAGATGGCAAATCTTAACTTTTATTTTTGCAATGCACATATTGTTAACACTTGACCTGATATGTTCCCTTTGGATAATGATTGTAACATGTTAAAGTGAAGAAAAAACAACTAAAACTGTTATCCTGTTAGCAACTAAGATTAATTTGAGATAGCCAAGCATTGCTAAATAATCTGGCAAAACATGAGGTATTTTGTATGTCTATTTTAGGAACATAAACTAGTCATTACAAAGGATGGTGACAAGCAGGTATTTTGCAAATTTCAGATTAATTAAAATGCTGTTTAACAAGCCCTATTAGAATGCAAATGTTTTTCATGATTGCTGTCACAAGCTGGGTTTCAGGTTTTTTTTGTTGGGTTTCCTATCCATTTAAACCTTTCTATTTCCTTGTCTCCAGCCTCCATTCCTCTGCATTGAAGTGAACCCAAACAGCAACATTAGCCTAATGCATGAGAACAATGAAGTGAAGAAAAAAAGACTGAAGAAGTAAGTCTAATTACTCTAGTTCCATAGAATAAGATTTTAAGGCTAAGTTCACACTAGGGCAATTACCCACCTAATTGCTCTAGTTTGAAGCTAGTTTGAATAGATGTTTTCAGTAATGTGAGGAGAAAACATGCAAATTTAGTGGATGGGTTTGATCCTTATTGCCCTTTTTATTAAAGAAAAGCCCCTTGAAGTATTAGATGACATTCCTTGAACATAATTCTAATATACCACATTAGAGATACATTTCCTGATAGACTGCAAGCCAGTGTGGAATCAGATCTAAATCCATGTACTAACTTTAAAAAGCCATCAGTGAACAGAAAAAAAAGAAAAAATTTCCTTAAGAATACATTGCCTCCATTTGTAGACATGTATTTAGCAACATGAAAGGTAATTAATGAATTCTTTTTTTGTTTTTCAAAACACTTTTTTATTAGTTTAGGAGAATTCTCAGAGGTTAGGTCCTAATATACTTTTATAACCTGAGCCCCTTAACTATAAGCTCTTTGTATCTATGAATTAAAATTGACTAATAAAGTTTTCAATGAAATGCAGTTCTCAAATAGTATCTGATGATCAGGGTGTTTAAAAATAAGGAAAAAAGAGAGGGAAGGAGGGAGGAAAAGAGGGAAGATAGAGAGTGTGGCTGACGTTGCAGTGAAAACTAAAAATGGTGGAAGGATGTGAGTCCTGAAGACAATGAAGTTCAGACCTCTGGCAGAGCACATACTGTTGTGGGTTGAAATCTCTTTCAGGAACTGTTTAGATGTGAAAGTAGAGAAAGAAATATAAAGAGAATCATTCAAAGCAAGGGTAGATTTAGGGCTAGAGGACTTGATTCATCAAATTCAACCTCCTCATTACAATAACAAAAAAACTAAATTTTAGAGCACAGAGTCACATAAAGGGATAAGTAAATTCACACTTAACAAGTACAGTGTACACTATCTGGGTGAAGGGCCCACGTACAACTTTAACTCAAACTGTACAAAAGCAATTTATGTGAACAAAATGTTTGTACCCCTGTAATACTCTGAAATAAAGTAAAGTAAAATAAAATAATAAAATAAAATAGCATCAAAAAACCCAACAACACCACTGCCCTCAAAGCGAGGTCTTCTGACTGCCATTCTGTCTGGGAAAGGTTTACAGATGGGAATATCAAGTGGAAATATGCTCAGGTCAGTTTATTAGGTTAGAAAGGGAGCAGAGACGCCTCTTAACCACAGTCTACCTTTAGGGGACTGAGAAGTGAGGGACCCGGATGTAAAAGGACAACCGCCATCTTGCTTCTTCCCCAGCGTAGCCATTTTCAACATTCCCTCCCAGAAGATAAGCATCTGTTTCCTTTGGAAAACAAGAAAAACGACCAAAAAGATCACCAATCCCTAAACCTCTGTACCGCCCCTAAAAACCCCACAGCCTATAAGAGCCGGGGCTTCTGTCCTTTCCGTCAGAAACCCTTCTTGGGTTTCCTTACTAAAACCTTTCTTTGTCCGCCAAAGCCTTTTCTTGCTCCTATACTTCCTTTACCTGACATTTTGGCGGTGAAACCCCGGGGGGGAGCAGATGGATCTCTTTGCAACCCAGGAAGCAGTTGGCTGCCTGTAGCATCTCACGGAGGGTCGCTCCTGGATCCTACAATGTCCGGCTACCCAGCATGTCCGACCCATGCCTTCTCCGTGTCCGGCTCCTCAGCCTCTACGTGATGACGCAGTGCGTCCCGGCTCTCAGACAAGTTCCTTCCGGGTCAGGTCCAAGTCGGGGGTTTATACCGACCTGCCAGTTGCCACGAGGTTTCCGGATTCTTCTTGTCTCTCCTCTCTTTCTCTTTCCCTTTCCTGGCTTCCGCAGCGGGAAGCCACTTGCCGATTCCTCCTCAAACATCCAACAGCCAAACGGTTCCCTTGAGCACAGGTAAGAAGTGGCCTTCTTCCTCTTCCTCCCACCGGTACCTGGGGGGTGGGGGGCAGGACTTGGCTGCCCCTATATTCCCCGGGGAATTTTGGAGACCCTCGGTCATGGCTTGAGAACTTGGGGATGCCTCATTCTCAGCTGCCTCCTCTCACCTCTTTTCTGGAGGTTCATTTCTGGCTCTCGCTCCTCTGACGAGGACACCTTTCGGAGTCAGCGAGAGACCTTCAGGGAACTTCACCATGGGCTCGGGCACCTCTACCATTCCTCCACGTTCCCCTTTGGGGTGTCTTCCTTTTAATTTTTCGAACCTCAACCTATAGGGTGACCTTAAAAAGAAAAGCCTTATTTTCTTTTGTAATACGGCATGGCCCCAATATAAATTGGATAACAACAACTGATGGCCTGAAAATGGCACATTTGATTACCAGATCCTTCGTGATCTGGACAGCTTCCTAAGTAGGAATGGCAAATGGTCAGAAGTCCCCTATGCACAGGCTTTTTCCTATATCAGCTCACGACCATCTTTGTGCCGGGACTGCTCAAAACAAAACCTTCCTTCTAATTTGTCCTTTGATCCTGCCAATGGAGCCCCTCCTTATGCACCAGGACACTCTACTTCTCCCCCACGTCAGCTCCCCATTCCCCTCTCAAACCACCATCTGCTGAAACCATGACACCCCCAATCCCTATCTGCCCACCTCCCCACCATAACCTGATCTAAAGATGGGACTCAACCCAGTCCTGGGTCCTCACATCTTTTTCTCCTCTGGGAAGTAGCTGGTGTAGAGGGCATTGGGCAAGTCCATATCCCCTTTACCATGGCTGACCTTTCCCAGATCAAAAAGCAACTAGGTTTCTTCTCAGAAAACCCAATACTATTATAGGCAAGAGTTCTTATATCTCACCCAAACCTTCAGCTTAGCTTGGCATGTCACCCAAACACCGGAAGAAAAGGAACTCATCTGGCGTTTGGCCAATGCTCACGCTCATGAGCTACACATTCACTTCAACTAAAATTTGGTCACAGCAGGGGCCGTTCCCTCTGGAGAATCTTATTGGACCTATCAGCGGGGTGACCCCGGCCTCTGACTACGAGATCACATGGTGACCTGCCTCTTAGCAGGCATGGCCAACAATGCCCATAAGGCTGAAAAATGGAATATGATTACAGAGGTCACATAGGGGACACAGGAAAGCCTTGCTCTCTTTTTATATCGCCTGACAGAGACCTTAATAAAATGTACCAATTTAAACTCAGAATCTATGGAAGGGTAGACTCTCTTACACCTTCATTTTATCTCTCAGTCTGCTCCTGACATCTGAAAAAATAATTTAAAAGCTAGAGAAATGGCCTCACACCTCATGGAAAGAACTCCTTGAAACAGCCTTCAAAGTTTTTAATAGGGAGGAGGAATATCGGGCCCAAAAAGAAAAGTATCTTCGCTTAAAATACCAGATGCTTGCCTCCATGCAAACCCAGATAGAGACAGCTCTTGCAAAAGAAATCCCCCCACTCCCGGGGCACTTGTTTTCAATGTGGCACACCAGACAATGGAGAAAAGCCTGTCCTAATCCTCCTCCACCCTCTAAGCTGTGTCCCTTGTGTGGCCAATGGGGCCACTGGAAGATGGACTGCCCTCAACAGGGACACCCATCTGAGGCCCCCAGACCTCTGCCTAGAAAATATGAGTTAGAAACTTTTTCTTACCATAAATTCAGATATTTTCTTTTTTTCCTATAAAACTTGAAAGAGCTCAAATCATTTTGCCAAGTAAAATAATATTTAAAAAGGTATTTGTTATATTTTCTGTATATTTTTAAATAAATCAAAGAACTTTTATTATATATAATTTGCATATCTTGTTATAAATACATGCTTTATCTCTCAGGTACTATTAGTATTCAGTTATTCATTTAACCTTATATTCTTTTTGAGGTATTTTTATCCACATTACCACATTTTCTAACATTATAATATTCAGAAATAAATATCAACCCTACATTATCTAGAAATTTTGGTTTCTGCAAAAGTAAGCCATTTCAAGTGAAGATTCATTTAGCTTACATTGGTGAGGATACTACAAATTTTTTATTTAAGAATTTCTATTTATGGCTTAAATTATAAGTTTTATCACAATACAATTTTGTAGACAAATTTTTATTTATGTTTTTCTTTTAAGTCCTAGTTCTAACATATAAAGAAAAGAAAATTTTCAAGGTTCTGAGTAAGTTAGTGATTTTTAAGAAGTATGTAAAATGTTTTTGGTTATTAAACTGCATATGTGTATAACTTACACAGGTAATTGTTTAACAACCAACCTTCCGATAAAGAATTCATATATATATATATATGATTAGAAAAATTTCTTTCTATATAAATATGTATATATTTAGATAATTTATATATACACATATGTATACGTATTTATTATAAATACACATGTTATAAATATGATAAATACACATGTGTATATGTATTTATTATAAATTCCAGTAGTATTAAGTTATTACAAATGACAATATGTAAACAGATGTTTATGAGGAAGCAAAGAAAAAGGAACACTTATACACTGTCAGTGGGAATGTATACTAGTACAGCCACTGTGGGAAGCAGAATGGAAATTTCACAAAATACTAAAAACATAATTACTATTTAATTCAGTAACCCCATTCCTGAGTATATACCAAAAGTAAAAAAATCAATATATCAAAGGGACACCTTCATTTGCATGTTTACTATATTAGGTTATTAAATATGAAATGTAAGATTTCCTTAAGTACTAAGTTTGACATTTGATCTCTCTAACATTTCACTTTGACTCTTCTTGATTTATTTGTATTGTGAAGATACATCTTCAGTCTTTCAAACACATGGTTTGGCTTGTGGTTATCTTTCAAATATTTTTTAGAGCAATATTTGTGAAGCCATGAATAAAATAAAAATTCATGTTAATTTGAATATGAGTTCCATCATGGAACCAGTGCAGCACAGACAGCTCAGAATATCAACAGAGTGTTTGGGAATGGTGTGGCTAATGAACATACAGTAAGTACCTCAGTGATTTGAGAAGTTCTGTTCTGGTGATTTTAATCTTGAAAATGAACCACATGAGCAACCAGAAACCAAAGTGGATGATGATAAGCTGGAATCTATAGTGGAATTGAATCCACCTCAACCTACATGTGAATTATCAGCAAGGTTTGACATTATCATTTAAACAGTATTGGACCATTTGAAACAAATGGGCAAGGTAAAGAAGCTGGATAGTGGTGCCCATGAATTAAAACGATCATCAGAAGAGAAGTCTTGAGGCTTGCCTTTCTTTGCTGTCATGACACAAAGGCAAACCATTTTCATACTGTATTGTGATGTGTGATAAAAAAAAAAAAAAAATTGATTGTTTTTGACAACCGCAAGCATTTCAGTACAGTGGTTAGATAAAGTGATGAAACATAATCCAAAACCGAATATTCATCAAAAAAAGCTAATAGTGTCTGTTTGTTGGTCCAGAGTTGATATTATCCACTACAGCTTTATGAGACTTGGTCAATCAATTACAGCAGGTATCTATGCAACCAATTGGATGAAATGATGAGGATGCTTGTGATTAAGAAGCTGAGATTGGTCAATAGAGACAAGCCAATCCTTTTGCAAGACAACACTCAACCACATGTCTCACAAACAACACTTCCCAAACTCCAGAAGCTGGATTTGGAAACGTTCTGTCATTCACTGTGTTCACCAGACCTTGCACCAACTGACTGCCACTTCTTCCAGGCTTTCGACCACTTTGTGCAGGGATAAATATTCAATTCTCAACAAGCTGTGGAAAATACCTTTTGTGATTTCATTGCCACTCAGTCGCCAGGCTTCTTCACTGCTAGCATAACAAGCTCCTGTTAAGATGGCAAAACGATGTTGGTAGTTTAGGTGCATTCTTTGATTAATTTTACTGCCTTTTGTTTGAGATAAAATAAATTAGACTTTTGATTTGAAATCGGACATTTCATATTTAATGACCTAGTAGACCTATTGACAATAGTAGGGATATGGAATCCACTTAAGTGTCCATTAATGTATGATTGGATGAGGAAAATGTGGTATATACACACAGTGGAATGCTATTCAACTATAAAAGAGTGAAATTGTGTCATTTGCAGCAGCATGTATGAAACTGGAAATCATTTTCTTTCTTGAAATATACCAGGCACAAAAAGACATATTCTTACTTATATGTGGAAACTGAAAAGTGTGATCACATGGAGGTAGAGAGTGGAAAGATACCAGAGACTGGGAAGAGTGAGTTTGAGGGGTTGAAGAGAGTGTGTTAAAGGGTACAAACATACATACATATTGTAAAAGGAAAAAATTCAGTGTTCAATAGCAGAGTAGGATGACTATAGTTAACAAAACTGTATTGTACTAGTATGATGGACATTCTAAACACTCTGACTTGATCACTATAAATTATATACATGTAACAAAATTTCACATGTACCTCATATAATTTTTAAAAATGAATAATAAAAATTTTAAATTAGTAATATATGTAATATATTTTCTTAAATTCCATAAAAAGATTGTTATAGAATATATTCATCATTTTTTTCTGAACTCTTGTATACCTAACCAACTTATGATTACACCTGATAAATGTTAGTTGATTATTGTTTACATTAATAAGACAAAAGTGATTCAATAAAGACATAAATCAGAACTTCACTCTTTATTCAATCATGGTAGCAACTTTCTTGGTGAATCAGATAATAGTTTCAAATGCAAGGAGACTATTTCATCAAATTTTTGTGTTTTTGACAATGCAATTGCTACAGACACAATACACTTTAACCTATATTTTTAACATTTTCTCCAATGCTTTAAGTTAGTCAATCAACAAAACTACATGCAAGCCCTGATTTGTAGCATAAATTTCCATGTATAGTATTTGTACTGTATCCAGTTTTAAGCTTCCAACTTGACTATATTTAAAATGTAGTTA